ATACACATACATATATATATATATACATATATATACACATATATATATATACACATATATATATATATATATACATATATAAATATATATATATACATATATATATATATATATATATACATATATATACTGTATATACTGTATAGTATATATAAATATGTCTATGACACCTGCACAGTATTAAGTAGTATGAATACTTGCCCAAAATATGTTTTTAAATATATACATTACTAGATTAAATAATATACTAGTACATTACTAGATTATATGCAATGTTTTAATAATTTAATTTTAAATAAATGGAGGAGGTACATGGAACACGCTGTGAAATCTAAACAAAATATCTCATTAGTGGGCTATCCATCGACTGGTTATACCATAGTTGGAATGGAATGTAATCAATTGAAAATGAAAGGCACTTTTAATAATGCCTCATCAGTCAATAGGTACACGAACGATCTTCATCATTACCATATGGACAACGGCGTCTACAAGTCTAAGTAACGATGACAGTAGCCATCCCATGGTAAATCGCGAAAATAGAAATCCACTCCGCCCCCCCATTAAATACGACTGTCGGCCTACATTTTATGTAATTAACATCTGATCTAATATATTACGTACCTAGGCCTATGTGGTTGGCTGCGCGGATAGCCAAGTGTAGAGTTCGAAATGCTAAAAAATTCATATGTAAAGGAAAATCATCCTAGAGCAATGCTGAACAAAAATTCCATGTGGGACCTTGCTATATGTATCTAACGGCAACGTCCTCGTCATCAACCACACCACAGTGCGGCAACACGAAATGTGCTGTACATACACTCATCGCTACTTACTGACTTGAATGTGTGGTTTAATACACATAAAAGCAACTTGTAGCCTACATTTATTTCCTGTAGTATCTGATCTAGACTAGGGCATAGGCTTACACACACATACGTACCCAGCCAGCCTATTCGTCTTTGTCAGGCCAGCCTGCATTACATTGACACGAAATGTGCTGCACACACTCATCGCTACTAACTAATTTGAATATTATGTGGTTTAATACACATAAAACAACTTGTAGCCTCCTGTTATCTGATCTATACACACACGTACTACCCAGCCAGCCTATAGTTCGTCTTCCTCTAGCTCTAGGCCAGCCTGCATTACGGTACATTTTTTATCTCTCAGGAGAGACCACCCACCCTTGCAAGCACCACAAAACGGCTCATTCTTCGCTACCAACTAGACTCTTGCAGACGCATTTATTAGCCGCAAAGCTTACCATTCCAGGCTGTGATTGGTTGATAAACACAATGTGGAATATACAGCCGATTTGCAATCTGATCAATGACGAACACGCTTTCATAGGAAACCCACCTTACCTTAGTGTTAGATATGATATAAAAACATACTTTTTCACATATTTCCCGACAATATTTTCGCAAAAAATCTTCATACTTTAAATTCCCCAGGCCTTATCTTCCATATTATTGCAAGATCGCGTCACAAACTAAGGAAGAGATAGAAAAACAAATGACTTCAAAATTCTCTCAGAATCATCATATAAGCCCTCTCTCTCAGAGAGTGGGCTAAAAATGAACCCAGCATAGGTTGTTTACATGTACTGTACAGCTGAATTTGTGTCATTGTGAAAACAAAAATCTCATTTTATGTGCTAGACACAAACTGTATTTTTAGCATATGTTTTCCCATTGTAGTCAAGGGTGATTATATGCCTGCAAACTAGGCTTATCCTGCCTTAAACCATTATGTTATTTTATATTCAGTAAAACAAGTAGGTCATACAAAAGATGATTTTTTTTTTATGACAGAGTCAAGTTAAGTGTATTCCATTTGCTATTGATCATATCAAACAAAAAAAATCTCATTATTAAGAATAATATCATTCTTAATCCACCTGGCAATGTTTTTCTACAAAGACAGGATACACCATGGAGGAAATACAAGAATAGTAACATAATAAATGCCTTTTTTAAACCAATGGTTATACAAAACACTTTTCTTTCCAATTTTTATCCTATCATTATATTATAGATATGTCTGCGAGACATCAACTTGATTTACAGGTGTGTTATATTAATTAAAGCCCCATTTTCAGCAAAATTTCAAAAGAATTATTTTAGAAAAAAGGCATATGCATTACTCTAATTATTAGAAACCATGATAAAATATTGACATAAATTTTAGTTTTACGCAAAAAGATTTAAAAAAATGAGAAATAGAGACTATTTCTCATAGGAGATTACAATTTTCTCAACGACTTCTTCGTTACTAGGTAAATTCAGAGGTTGTAGATCGCATCAGCTGGAATGCTCTCGCTTTTGTGTATACTTTATACAGTCAACAAAGTGTGCCCTCTCTAATGAGATTAGTTTTTGTACTTCACATCTCGCACACTACAGTCGATCGAGTACGCTTGAGATATGTTTTTGTAATTGTCAAAATCTCAGTCAGAATAATTTTTTTTAAACAAATTTAAAATAATTCCCATGAAATATTATATTTCACAAGTGTCAATACTAGGAAATGGAAATATGTCGGCTATTTTTATGGCTGATAACAGAACCTAAATCGAAGAAAGACTAAGTTGATAGGCTAATTTTTCCGGCACCTACTATAGCTCTTCGCAGAGCTATCACAAAATCAAACATAAAAATCCATCTGCGTTTATTGTTTGTGTGAAACACAAAAAAATCAAATTTCAGTCTTATTTTACATTTTTATAATGTCTAAATTCAGTTAAACTAGCAATTTCATATTATATCTATAAATCTTTATAACATTATATAAAAATCAGATCTTTCCTAACAACTGACATTTTGCTGGGAATAGGACATAATTTTAATTTTTAACCATGATGCAAAAACATCTTATCAGAAATAATTTACTTCATTTGTACCTACTGTACTAATACATTCAATGGATCTAATGACCAAATTGCGATTGTAAGAGCTGTTGTTCACATTGTGGTACTAATATAAATAATATCATATTGTTCAAAGTAGAGACTTGCAGTTATAAATTATTGGGCTTCCATCCAAATTGTCTTAGGTTTGCAGACCAATGCTACTCTCATTGCTTGTCACTGGGCAAGTTTATGCACAGCATCTGTCTCTCTACCCATGGATACACATTTATTGATTCATTATGTCATTTTCTTTCGTAACAGCATTGCTTTTTAGAGAGCTGTACAGCACACTAACATTCACATACGTATCTAATAGAAACAGCTAGTTGCACAACTAGAAATACTCCCCAGAGATTAGAAGAGGAGCACTCCTCAAAGAATGGAAAAGGTTACACACTGTGTATGATTCATTCTGTATTCAATGAACAGGAAAACACATGCATAGAGACTGAGCTATGCTGCCATTATGTACTCTCAAAATCTAAAAAATAATATGATAAAACTTACTGGAAGGACAATAATGCAAGGACTGGGAACCAAATTGAGCTCTGTGAGGGTACGGTCCATGTCATCAGAATCGTAGTTTCTCCTAGGAAATGTTGTTGACATCATAAATGAACTTCTTAAGTCATGAGACATAATTTTCTGTAATGAAACAAGCATTTGATTTCAAAAATAGGATTCCAAAATTGTTGTTAGTTTCAAGTTTATGGAGTGCATTTGTCGGCACTGAATTAAATGGTCAATTTGTTACCCTCTAACGCAAACTTGGAGTTAGGCGAGAATTTCCTTATGAATCGCAGAAGCAATCAATCAAACAATCAATTTAAATTTCAAGTGTGATATATTTCAAAATACAATTTATATGAGGTTTATCTTCTGTGATCGGAAAAACAACACATAATGCCGATATTAAAAAACCATAAATAACAATTATACACTTCAAGTATATCCTCATTTTTTCTTTACTCCTTTACTCTTTGTCTTTTAAATGGATTATCAATAACAGCTTACCTGTCTAATAAACTCATGTACTTCTGACATTTTTGCTGTTGCCTTGAATTCATTCTTAAAAGTTGAACCATCTGGCAGACGGAACTGTATTCTAGCACTCTCCCTGCAGATTGTAAGAGACATTAAAACTACATATCAGATATCCCAATGCTTTATATTTTATCAAGTATTGGCTAATACAGAAATGTGGACTACATCTGAACACAATCAGTATCGAAGTGGTTATTCCTTCTAATACTTATATCCACTTTTCAAAAAGTTTTTTATATTAACACTTTATTCAATCGTAATCCTGATGTTGATTTGTTTTGATGGTTAGTACTGTTTTAGTCTGCTGATCTTGTGGAATCCAACCCTGATAACTGGTACCACCATACATTTTTAAAAATTATTAACAAAAATGAAGAAAGAAAATTACATTCAAATTTAAGTCTAATGGTGCCATTTCCAGCCATCTAGAAGTGCCTAACCATAAAATTTTCTATCTCAGCCTTAACTGGTGAGGCCAGAGGTGGTCTAAACCTTCCATCTGGGAAAGTTTCTCCCTGGGCTCCCACTATTTAAAATTTTTGGATCAGACCCTACTTAATATCCATGGATTGACTCACATTCGTCTTCTCTTTCTTTCTAATTCTTCTTCATCTAGTTGTTCTTGTTTCTGGATATTCCTGCTTTTCCGTTTCTGATCCCTCTCTCTCTTCTCAGCCTCAAACCTCGCTTTCTTCTCTAGCTTATCCCACTCCAGCTGTTGCCGGACCAATTCCCTCCACTGCTGATCTTCCTTCATGTGTTCCACAGTGGCTCTGGTTTCCCTCTCCTGGTTCGTCTTCATCTGTTCTTGGATTGCTTTTCCAACTTCCCTTCTTTCTATTTCTTTCTTGCAGTTAATCTTAAAAAATGTTCAAAATGAATTATTAAAAATAAAGATATACAGTTAAGTAAATAAAGTTGGGGAAAAAATGTAATATTTGCATTGCTTTAGTTAGTTGCAAATTAATAGCTTTTAAATACCGTACTCCAAGCATTGAAATGCACGCCATTGTGTTGGGATTCCATATTTCAACATTAATTATGTCATCACCAGGTAACAAATAAAAAAACAATTTTCCTTGCTAGTTAACAGACACACAGAGTACATAATTCATATTTTTAATTAACTCAAATAGGAGTTAACAGAAGCAACAGGTCTCTGTACAAAGTACCTATCAGAATAATGAGCAATTAGTTGAGTTGTGTATCATACAGTAGGGGAAGTTTATTATAAAAAGGCTAGATTAATGCTTGAAAAAATTCCTAGCCTGCAATAGATAATGCATTATCTAGAGGAGCTGCACTTGCCTGGACAGATGCAACCGAATACGGATTTGCGACTTGCAGAGTTGATGTTTGAGTATCCATCTCTACAGCTGAGGCTTGGTTGGAATTGGAACTATCCTTTTTCTATAAGCATAGTAAACACATCAGAAACTGGTGTATGTTGGCTGTATCATACATTAATACTTGGGTGCAGTGGCGGCTCTAGGATATATTTTCTGGGGGGGGGGGTGGCTAAGTATTTATGGGTGTAACGGGGAAGGGTTTGAGAGGGTGTTACCCTCCCAAATGACATTTTTTAAGAATAGGAACCTCTGGATGGCCAGAAATGACACTCTCTGATTGTGACAGACATGTGTTGGCTTGGCATGGACCTATTTTTATATATTTTTTAGTCCGACTGCCCGACAAGCTCTGTCCAATGGGGGGGCTTGACCCTACCGGTGGGGGACTTAAGTCCCTGCCGCCCACTCCCGCCCCCGTTGGCGCCGCCACTGCTTGGATGTAGGAAAAAAATGCCAGTATGAAGAAATATTATAGTTCTTTATCATGAATCACACTTTATATAATAATTATTATTATTGGACGATGAAACACAGACATACATAATAAAATTATTTACTTTTAGTATATACTACACAATATAGTATACTATACTTAACTTAAATTAATACAACTTAATCAGTATCAGTTTTTCTGCATTAATAACAACTAATATTATAAAACTGAACAATGAAAATTAGTGTACACCCGATTAATTCTCCTCATATGGTCATAACTGGTGTTCATAGCATAATTAGGAAAGCATCAGATATTTCTCCATTGTAATTACTAGGCCTAATTTATTAGGCTGTATTTTTTTACTACATTTACCATAGAGCATCATCATTTCAGGGGTCCCAAGGTGGAAGAAGTCATTTCCAGGATATTTGCTGTGGCAGATCCAAGAATCCAAGAGGTGGCTGGGAGACACTTTTATGGATGAAAGGTCTAGACTACCTCAGCCTCGCCATGGTTGGACCAAAGTAAGAAAGAACATTTATGATTATGGGACCTCTAGATGACAGAAATAGCATTCTCATACTTAAAATTTAATATGAGAATTTCTTCTTTTCTCCCTCTTTTTTATAATTTTGAAAAAAATTAGTGGGGGGAGGGGGAGCAGCTGCCACTACCCCACGAAACCGCCACTGATAGGGTTAATAAGCTTTAATCATTTAATTTTATTTTGCTGCACATTGTGATATTAATTGGCAATAATAAAGCAGTGACAATATACAAATATTATGAATTTTTGGGAGATTTTTGCTTATTTTCGGGGACGTGCAGGAGGCCATATTCCGGGAGACTTGAGACCTGTCATTTCTGTTTGCTGTATTTCCTTAAGTATCATAGTACATTTACTAGAATAAATACAACCTGGTTAATTTGTATTTATTTAAGTAAATCCTATCTAATAATAATTATTAGCCTGTATCTATTTAAACAGGACCAAAGTGTAAAACAGTTTATCACTGATAATTTTATCCTGTATAAAGATGTTTTTAAATAAATAAATAAATTTAAGTAAATGATACCTGAAAAAATACAACCTTATAAATTAATTTGTTGTATTAAGTATTATTTAGAGTGGAGTTAAATAGCTGAGTGGTTAAGATGCTTGCCTTCTGATCCCAGGGTTCGATTCCTATCACAGCAGGAATTTTTCTCACATCTAAAAAGCAACTCCACTCCCTAAACCTCATAAAGAGACTTACTATAAAGAATCATTCTTATGCTGTAAGTGGCAAGTGTACTTGCTGTTGGATGTGAGGGCAATACAAATATGTTGGATGTGAGGGAAATACAAATATATATTATAATACAGTAATAAATCAGTTTATTAGGCTGTATATTGGTTTTAAAAGCTCTTTCCTACTTATCACATAACATAAGAATGATTTGCTTTGATTTTTACTAGCATTTTCTACATCAAAGAAAGTTACAGTATTAAGCCTATTATTAAGAAATATAATACGTTTGTGTTGCTTATCTTATGTAGGCCTATGTTTCATCATACTATAATAAGCAATTAATAGGACTCTGCATAGCATACTATAGGAAAATTATTATACGAAGGTTAAATTTAATGCTTGAAAAAATTTCTTGAGGGCCTGCAATGACCGAAGGAAATTTTTGAATGCATTAAATCTAACATAAGTATAATAAATTTTCCATTAATGTACGATATATGCAGCTATACTAATTGCTTTATTAGTAGTTTCGATGATCAAAAAGCTATGTAACATGCTCTACTAATTGCTTTATAAGTCAATCGCCGTCATTTAATTTTAGTTTTTGAGATAACCAGCTGTTGTAGCAGTCATTGGTTGCTATAGTGATATGATCAGAATACGTGTGCATATTTACATTTAGCTGTGCGCATGCTGATTTTTGCTCCTGCTGTACACGTTTAACTACACATCAGCAGTACAGTACAGATACAATGAATAACTATTGTAATATTGTGTTAGAAAGAATTTTGATAGACTTTCGTTAAAGAAATAAACATTTCAGTATTCGAAAGAGAATACAGTAACTGACCTTTTTGGTCGGTGCATGCAGACAGGTAAAATCATGCGATGATTTCATAACTAGGCTAGGCTACGGCCTAGTAGTAGGAGGAGGCCTGGGCGACCTCCTACCTGGCATTAGGCCTACATCATTTGCTCCTTGAGTCTTTAAAATAGGTCTAGAATATTCCTACTAAACGTTCAGTTTGTTGTGTTTATGAAGGACCATTGATTCAATGAATTCCTTAATTGTTCATACTTAATATTGAATTTGAAGTAACTTTCTTGGGGTTCTAATGAAGCTTGTTTTACGAAAGTAATTTTCAATTACAATTCAATTTTCATTGCGGTGCACTATGTCTTCGCAGTGACAAAAAAATGAGGAATTTTTTTTTTACACGCGAACCTAAAAAAAATCAAGCCAAGCGTCCACTAATTGAAAAATTGTTGGACGGTGAGGAATAGGCAAATAACATTGGGAGTTGTAGTGATGAATTCATAATTTACATATAATAATTATTATAAAGTGAGAATTAAATGTTGATAACAAGAAATATTTCCTATAAAAAAACGCTACAACATCTTTACGTTATTCAATTTGTTTATATGGCTAATTCCAAATTTATCCTATGTGTGAATTTTGTAATGACATGACATATTTTACCGTATTGATTTCCTCAATTCTTCCATTTGGATTTTCCTTGTAATATTTCGGCATTAATTTTGAATAATTTTATTTATTTCTATATTTAAAAATATTTTTGTTCACTGCTGTCGACTGACCAGTGTGCGTGGTAAGTTAATTATGTTGATAACCTTCAGAGGCTTCTTTATCAGCTATTGTTGGTCCACTGCTGGACAAACGTCTCAGGATGTCGACACCAAATCAATCTTTCTTCCCCAATAAATATCGATCGCATCTCTTAATCTTTCACGTTGTCAACAATGGGGTATCTATACATGGCTGCCCGAGATTAAACACCGTTTCAATTTGGTTTGTACTCCTGCTGACTAAAGTTCAACAACCAGAATGAAAACCACTGAGCCAAATCGCATTTTTTCCATTATTGTCATTAATAATAATAATAATATTATTTTATTTATTTGTATTCAGTTCGTAATTCCCATTTCTTGGTAGTAAAAGCTACCGCTACCTAGTTTCTTAATGACTGTTTCCTCTTGATCGCTACAGCCTAAAGGTGTGGTGCGAAAATGTATGATTGTATGCTGGTTTTCACTATGTTTTTTGTACATAAATATACTTAGTGTTTTATTTATATAGGAATGAATATGAAATGGTAAATGCTTCTACCTTCCTTTCCTTATCCATCTTCTCTCGCAACGCAACCATCTTCTGCCGATGTCTCTGTGACCTCTCCTCTTGGGTTTCATTACTTGTATTAACTATTGCAGATGCTTGTAAAATAATAAAATAATGATAATCACGACAATTATAATCAGTTTTTATAAGGCACCATACTGCACATTAAAGCAATTACTACATAAGTTCATTAGGTACATTTACCATCCATCAAAGAGTATAGAAATGGAATAGAGCAAAGTACGCTTGTTATGAGCGTAATTGAAATGATACGCCCTTATACACAGCTTTGAGAAGACACCCGCTGCGTTTGGTTGTCACTTTGAGTATCACGGTTTGTCTATCTGTTTTCCACAAGATACAATTTCTCTGAAAAGGACAATATTGTTACTATTTTTTTACACGAATACTGTTGATATTTTATATAGCTGTGCACTGCCACATGACAATCAGAGCATAGAGGGTGCACTTTCATGACAATGATGGTGATCACTTCCATCATAAGTAAGAGGGTGATGTATTTACGAAACTTACAAACAAGACTAGGCTCTCTTTTGCTTTCTTTACTCTTTGCGTCCATGCACCATGTGCATTCTACTCTGTGTTGCTGATGATGCTAGTTAAATTTTCCCTAACACACGTCATGTATTACATGTTCTATGTATAACAGTCATGCAATAAGTAAAATCCAACATCGAGACCAATGCATTCTATTCAGAAGTTCATATCCAACAAAAGCACTTATATACTTGTGAGTGATGAGACACCTACACAGTGTCTTGCCAAAAATGTGCAATGCTCACATTCTTTCTCAAAATATAATATAGAACTTTTAAAATACATTAAAAAATATATTTAACAAAGCTTAATAATAATATACTTTATTTAAACACGGAGACACTTGAATCACCCATGGGTGTTTTTCATCAAGGCCATGCAAGGCCATACATAATTAGAAAAAAAAAAAAATTTTTGAAAACAAAATGAATTAATAAAGAAAACAACAAAAACATAATATCTAAACTACCAGTGAAACTATCCCCCGCCGGACACCCAACTAGCCGTCGAGGGGCCTAGGCCTAGATCATAAAAAGTTTTGGCAGTCAGCATGTTAAGAAATGTTTATTTCTTTAACAAATGTCTATCAAAATAGCATTACAAACAAGTTCTTCAAACACAATAGTTATTCATCGTATCCATACAGTACTGCTGATGTGTAACATTGCCATGTGTTAATGCGTACTGCAGGAGTACAGTTAATTGTAATACGCACACATACTCATCATCACTATAGCAAACCTGATAACTGCAAGTTACATAGCAGTTGATCATCGAAACTACTAATAAAGCTATTAGTATAGCTGCATATATCGTACACTAGTGGAAAATTATTATACTTAGGTTAGATTTAATGCATTCAAAAATGGAATTCTTTCAAGCATTAAATCTAACCTTTGAATAATAATTTTCCACTAGTGTACTATGCGCAGTGTCTACTAACTGCTTAATACTGCATGGTACTGTATTTAATATATTTCAATACTAATAGCAGAAAAACAAATTTTAGTACAAAGAGTAATGTACTGAATATCTACATACCAAAAGATGATGCTTGAACTTTGTCAGGTTGGTCTGGAGTGATTTTTGGAGCTGCACTTGCCTGGGAAGTTGCACTTCCAGGAGATGCACTTGCCTGGGGAGCTGCAGTCATTAACGGATCTGCAGCTGCTTGCGAAGTTGACGGTTGCGAATACATTGCTTCTGTTGTTGTTGCTACAACTGAGGCTTGGTTGGCCCTATTCTTTTTCTACATGAAGTATAGTAAACAAAATATTAGGAACTGGTGTGTGTGTGTGTGTGTGTGTGTGTGGGTGTGTGTGTGGGTGTGTGTGTGTATATGTATTGGATGTATCACACATTATTTAATGCGTGGCATATGACAGGTAATTTTATGACTCGTTTCATACAAATTTATAATAGCAAAACTAATAAAATTTGCAATAATGAAATTTTACATATTTGTGTACACAGTACACATTTGTTTGAATGTTTTTCAACATATAGTTGTGTTTATTTGTTTGCAAATTTTTGTGTGTATTGTAAATAACGCTATTCCAAATTAACACCCCACTTTTAATGCCTTGCTTGAATAAACACTCCCTCCAGAGCCTCATTTGGATTAAACACCTCCCTCGAATAAATTCCCCAGACTGTTTATTTTCCCCTTTAATACACACCCCTTAAATTACAAAACTAATGGAAACATCATTTAACATCATCTATTATTGTTGTACTCCAGTAGAATTGGACATTTTTTATAACCTGGTTGAGATCAATTAGTGTTTTGATCACACAGTAACACATTCTGACAGTATGCGTTATAGTTCCATACTTACTGTGAAATTAAGGGGCATTTGTTTGAGTATATCAGTCCTACACACAAAAAATAAAAAATAAAATCTCCCTCCAATAAACACATCATAATTATAAAATGCCCCCTCAAAACCTTTGTCAACTATAAATGTACCAGGGCATTTTTTTTTTTTCAAATAAATATGTTAATTACATAATTTATCCTGTTTAAAACAGTTTATATCTTCTGTTTTTGACATTATTAATAACTATATATAAACATTTCTAAAAGATAAAAACATTAACAAATTCTGGTGGCAAGAAAAGTAAATTGTTTTTAAATGTTCTCTAAATGTAACATTTGTAATAGGTATGTAATATATAGTCTAAACATGGTTAAATAACTTTATTCTGCTAAAATTAAATATGATATGTTGCGTACATTCGTTTGTAAATTCATTCATTAATTATGAATACTTGGTTTCAAAATTAATTGAACACTACATTACCACAATCACATCTTTAATCTTCTCTCTTAGTTCGTGTGGGGATACAGCACCTGCAATTGCCTCTAGGTAGACCCCATTTCCACCATCAATGAATGCTACTGATGGAACACAAACAACAGGATCTGAATCATTCGTGGTCAAGGTTTAAACCTGATCTATCTCATACAGGGTGAAATTGAAGTGTTGAAAAATTTCTGTCTGGGTATTAGTTACAGGATTTTTTTCTCACAACCACATCAACTCCATTCTCTCAGCCTCATAATGAGTACAGCATTTTGTGTGTGTTTGTCTTGTCAAGGGTTGCCCCTAAAAAAGTGGTAAGTTGGCACTGATTGGCTTTATATCAGTGGTTCTTTTGTTCCTAACGTTGAATATTAAACTACTATATGTCTGTAGGTGCATAAAATGCTAGAAAACGGTGTTAAAATACCACTTTAATATGATAAAAAATCAAAGTTCTAAAACTACAATAGCCAAATTTCTCCTGGACGTTTGAGAATTGGGCTACAGAATATAAGGAGACAAGATTTGTAAGTTGAAACTTCTACCTTTATAATAAAAAATAATGATTATATTTCCTATGTAATATTCCTAAAATAGGTTTGAAAATTTCCTGGATAATCCAATTTCTCAGATACAAAAAGTACATACTTGCAACATTCTCTTGTCCTCAAGAAATTTTAGAGTGCCAAGGGCTCTCTGCCTATACCTACAGTATGATACCCATATTTGCTCACCCCATAGATTATAATTTCTAGAACTATATCTAACATAAAAATTCTTGATTTCAGAAATAATTGTAAGAGGAAAAAAAAGGATACAAAGTCTGCTGAATTGATTGCATTCAGTACTGAAAACAAAAACAAAGAAAATTTATTAAAAAGTAAAAGAATATATTAATTGCCTTTTTGCTCAGTTGACTTTAACATGAGAATTTAAAATTTTTTCAGTTGATTTTTTCTTTAAAATATAGCGTAAAACATTTACATATCGCTTTCAGTTAAACATAGGAAGAAGGCCAAATTAAGAGCCATCCATAAATATAATTTGTATATTCTTTGCATGGATGTTTTTAAATCAATTAAGAATCAGCTAAACTGAATTTTAAATCCAATGTTTTAGTGTGTGTTGGCTTTCTATTCCATTTTTTTTATCAGGTACTGTATAGCGCTAATGGGCTGCATACCTAAAATTAAAAAAAGAATTAAATTTATTAATACCTGGATGCATTAAGCCTGATGGCAACTATACCTGCCTCATTGCAGATCTGTTGAACCTCTCCATCTTCCCATGTTTCATCCATTCGACTTGTGTCTTCGTCATTAGTACCTACAATAGATTTCAAAACATGACAGTTTAATTGGGGTGGACATAAAAATCTGTCATAGGGCCAAAGTGAATTTTTCATTTAACACTCAGACCCACACCCAAACTTCATGCAAAATACCATTGTTTCTCTCCCTCCTACTTTTATTTGTTCCTTCGTTTCCTTCATAACCAACAATTCAAATGTTCCATCAATAAGCTTTTCTTCCCCATTTACAGTATGAATATTGTTTAGTTTCTATCAACACATTTATCATTTATCCTAAACTCACTTTGGGGTAATATCTTAATATATTACTTGAAAACAGGTGCTTTTTCTCTGCATTGCAAAACATGTTTAGGCCCTTTTTTGAAGCATGGTCACACACATGGGTACCCAGTATGCAATGTTGAGAGGTCATATTTTTTTACCCTTTTCTCAATTAAAAAAAAAAATAGGCCTACTGAAAATCCATTCAATCAATCAGTTAAATAATTATTTCTATTTTCCGTCATTGTACAGTATTATTAATGATGGTTTATTACATTTTTTAAATGGTGGTCATATCCTTAACCTCGTTTTCAAACTTATTTTGACCATTATCCACATAACTTTTACGATTTTTTTAAAAACTGAAATACTGATTCTTTTTAATAGATTAAGAATAATTGTTATGTATTGTTCAGTATGCGGAAAAATATCAATAAACAAAATCTGTTTCTGATTTGATAGAAATGCTAAAAGTTGTCTCTAACATATTAAGATCAACATTATGATTTTCAAATATGTAATAAAGTTTATTTTTCCAATAAAGTTCCCATTCAATTGTGTTAATCTGTATGTCAATTTCCCACTTGTATTGAACACTTGGAATGGTGTATTTTGCATATAAATAATAAATACAAATCTTCAACACAAAGTTTACCTATGATCAGTTCATAACATGTCTTACACTCATTGTCCCTGTGTATTAAATGACAAGATTAATTCACAATAACATCCTGAGAAGTAGAGAGTAAGAAATTTCATATGTAAAATTCTTACAGTACTTTCTGACAGCTAGCCTATACATCAATGTCAAAATAGGTCATTATTTGACCCACAAGTTTATGTTTAGTGTTTAATGTTTATTTTCCACAATTTAATAGCATTATGCATATACAATAATAATATAATATAATATACAGATATAATAAATCGTCAAACAATTGGATTTGATTTGTGGAGAAGGCTATATAAGCTGATTAGACTCATCTGATCAGCTTTAAGCCATAGCCCCCTTACATAATGGTTTAAACAAATTTTGTTTTTAAAGTAAAACAAAAAGGAAAACATAAATAAATAAATAACACGAAAATGAAATAAATTTTGTCAGTTTCATTCACCCAAGATTTAACCTCTGCTCCCTGGTGAGATATTGAACCATACTATACTATATCAGTCACTAATATAAAAATATGGTAGTATACATTTGTATAAAAATACCCTACTATACTTGGCACAGAAGAAGCACATTATCTTTTTTTCCCCCCAAAATTGACAAAAAACAGTGACTGAATAGAATAGGGCTAGAGGCAATATTGTGTTGTCCTGCAAATTTCTTCCATAAGAAAATACAAAAAGATTAACAAATGAAATTAATTTATGTGTAATCATGTAGATCTATTTTACACACTAAAATAAACTTTCTCAATTCTAAAATATAAAATTCGCTTTCAAAACTGGATGAAATATTATTGCTAATAGTTGCTAATAATATATAATGTGGAAAATCTTTCACGTATAAACAATTAATATTCATTGTTTGACCCAGTGACCATTGTATGCATAAAATCTAACTAATGTATATCCGTCTACTAAAATGAAAACACATTTCATGTGTAAAAATAGGTACCTATAAAGTACATGTGGCTACTGAGCTCATAATAAGAAATACTGCTGTGGTGCTTTTCATGCACGTTCCCATGTTACATATCCCATATTCCAGTAGTACAGTAGGCCTATCATAGTCATAGTAAATTAACACTTTAATACAAAAAAACAAAAGAAATACTTTCATCTTAACACTGTATATATTGTATTTAAAACCCAAATTCTTTAGTTACACAAAAGGTAATGATATACTCTTAAGAGCCACGATGCGGCGCTTTTATGAGCATTAGGGGTAATTAAAACTATATAATCTGAATCCACTATTTTGTAACAAGAAAGCAATAAAGGCTTTTATCTTAATTATAAGTTGGTTTATTACAGCAAAAACTTTTTATCCCTTGCAAATTGACACCTTATTGAACATTTCAAACATTTTGCCTGCAGTCTGGGTGTTTAATTCTGTAAATAAAATTTTCCCAAATACAGGCCCGTAGCCAGGTCATTTCAATGGGGGGTTCTCTGGGTGTGGTGGCCAGGGGACTGCCTAAGTGCCCCGGTGGGGTGGGGGGGGCAAAGCCCCCAAAGCCAGAGCAGTTTTTGTATTTAATGGGTCTATATAATGTTATAAAAGCAGTTATGTTTTGAAAAAGATCTATGTAATACAAGGTGGTAATATAATAAAATTGGAAAATATTTTTTGAGAATTAGCATGTTTTAATCACACCGAAAGACAAAAAAAAACCTCATCGCATAATCAATATCAATATACTCAACACATTTATTATTATAAAACAAAACAAGCTATTTAGGCCTATAAAGTAATTTACAAAGAATTATGTACTGTGCTTCTTTATAATATATAAAACATTTAAGAAGTGTTGTCTTGTTTTAACTTAAATAATGAATCTTCCAGTAGGCCTATATAAACAAATAGAGCTGCCTGTTATAAAAATAAAGTAGGAGCTGAACCTCTTCTTGACTCATCTTGTACACTGAAAATAATAGTACTATTTTTACTACATGGCTAAAAAAACACAAATATTTTCATTACTACAACTGACAGGTTCATCGTTAAATTAAGTCAGAGCCCAAAATATAGCATCATATTGAATACGTCATCTGACATCATGGGAACCTAAACTTTAATTACAATTATTTGTTTACTAGGCCTAATTCGAAATTATTATTTTAAGACTTTAATTTGACGCAAATTTCAGAATTAATAATCGTTTTTTAGTATCTTATTGAATATTTATTGTCTTAAATGAAATATGAATTATATATGAATCTATAGAAATACAATTTCAACAATATTAATCTTGTTTTTATATAGATAAATGTTCAATAAATACTATCTTTCATACAACAAACGAAATTCAGCGCGTCTATTTTCATTCCAATCAATGGCGTTTGTAAACATGTGTACTGACGTCATCGTCGAATCCCAGGACTTTCGACGGCAATGCTGGCCTGCCTGCCTAGGTCCCAGGCCAACCAATAATAATTAACAAAATGTATTTTTTTAAATATAGGCACATCCTAGTACATGCACTTCAACTTTTACAACAAAAGCCTAGGCCTAGTAGTACGTCCTACTGTACTTAAGCCTAGGCCTACACTAGTTTGATGTCGTCAGGGTACAATTCTGTCTCTACATGCAGCGTGACCACTAGGGAAAATCAAAATTCTCAAGATTGGGTCTAAAAAATCCCAAGATTGCTTTTAAAATCCCAAGATTCGCAAAATAGTAGGGCCTATACATAAACGTCATTTAAAAGTCCTTCATTTTAAAGCTTTTTCAATGAATTATATACTATACAGTATTTTGTACTGTATAGGCCTTAACGAAGTGTCTGGATTTTCGAGACCAGAAACTTGTTCGCTTTGGGCCATACTATTAGAAGGCCTACTCTGTGCGTCCGTGGAAAATCCTTTTTGGTGACTAAAACGTGATATCCTTTCCTCTGGCACTGTATGTTAGGCCAAGAGTTTGAAGCTTGCGCGCAATTTCACCCATTCGATACAAAGTCAGTACTTCACACACATTAGGCCTATGGCCTACAATATTATATAAAAAGGCATAATCGATCTTTACAGAGTGTATAATTGATCTGTCAATTTTATACCAGGGGCCTACAGTATTGCATAGGAGTATTTAACAATAAGAAAATGGGGAAAACAGTTTCCTTTGAAATTTACTTAAGCGAGTGTGTATGAAACCGGGTCAACTAAAATTTGATACTACGTCTAGAAGTGTAGAGATACGGACCTTATTACTAAAAACTGTTGAATTCTAAATGATTACAAGATGACCAAGCATATGAATGAATCAGTCTAAAATGATATTCAAAGATATTATACAGCTAACCGCTAATGTTTGTTTTGCATGTCTATATACACACCGTCACTCAAAAATGTATGTAAAAATTTGTCGTAAAATTTGACAAGTTGACCAATAAAATCTATTGTAAATATTTATTTGAATCCGTACACTGATTTTGTTTCAAGTTGTTTGTTTTTAATATTATAGCTGTTTCATTACGATGACAATGTTTTGAAATCGTACTGTATAACACACCAAAATTTGTTTTATGGGCAAACAACAGAAGGCTCTGAATTTTTACAAGTTGACCAAGCGTGTTGCTGCATCATTATTGTTCAGTTACGATCACTATTCAAACAGAGAGCAGCAGGCTGATAATTTGTTTTTCCCACAGCTATTTAGATGTCGTTGTTGGTAACTTTTTTTTTTTAAATTGTGAGTGTAAATATTCTTTAGTGTATATACTGTAGATAAGAAATGTAGATAAATAATGCACATAAAATCAATTTCGATGGAGAACGGCTTCATTCATCTGATTAGTCCCATATTAATAGTACCGATATTGAATACTCCTCTTCTGCGAATTGTTTTATTGACAGTGACTCATCTAATTCTTATATAATTCACTAAAGATTACAAAACAATACAAAATTCAGTCTCTGACATAAAGTACTAGGTATCATAATCTCTAATGATCTTAACAGGCCCATGAACTTTATAGATTTTGGGTGCAGGCAGCTCTTTCCCAGTATGGGCCAATTTATAGTGGCCCATTACATTTCAATCCTCAAAAAACCCAGATATAGCCCATACATGGTGACCCCATGA